GTGTGCATGCGTGTAGCTTACCTACAGATGCATGTGTATACGTATGTGTACTCTATGGACACATGAGATGTTGTGTATGATTGCAGGAGAGGTGTGTGTGCGCGTGCGTGTAGCTTACATACAGATGCATGTGTATACGTATGTGTACTCTATGGACACATGGTTGGTTGTGTGTATGAGGAGACAAGTGCTGTGCACGTTTAGTGACACCTGTCGTTGTGAGTGTTTGGGTTCTTCGCCTTGAACCCGAAGTGAGATGTTTTCTGAACACTTGACAGCGCAGCAACAGGGGCACTGACACCTGGTAAATGATTTGTTACAACAGATGTAGGTAGTGTAGGTGGTTGTACAGCAGGTGTAGGTAGTGTAGGTGGTTGTACAGCAGAAGTAGGTAGCGTAGGTGGTTGTACGAAAGGTGTAGGTAGTGTAGGTGGTTGTACAACAGGTGTAGGTAGTGTAGGTGGTTGCATGGGGTGTATGGGTGTCATAGATACATGTGGATGTACTTACGGCAATGCAACTGAATGCACCTGGATGTAGTTTATAAGGTGCAGTCTCAAATGCTCACATAATTCATCTCATATAAATCTGAGTGTGCAATAATGTTATATGCTCATATAATTCTTCTCATATAAAGATTGTGTAATAATGTTGTACGCTCAAATAATTCTTCTCATATAAATCTGATTGTGTAGTAATGTTTTGCCTTTTGAACGAGTATATGGCCATAGCGTGAGGCTAACCTTGCCTAGCAACGATTCTGCCACCTGCTGCGCCTCGTTGCTATCTTGTTCGTCTTATTCCTCTATCGGAGAGACAGGCATCCGTAGGGGGATGGACCTACATTTTGTCACATTTGATAATCGAGTTCTTGTTCATGACTTATTTTGTCACATGTGATAATCAAGTACTTATAATTGACTTATTTATTCACCTCTGAGAACCAAGTATATATTCATGTCTTATTTTGTCATCTATGATAGTCGAGTACTTATTGATGTCTTGTTTTGTCACCTGTGATAGTCAAGTACTTATTCATGTCTTATTTTGTCACCTGTATTAGTCAAGTACTTATTCATGTCTTATTTTGTCACCTGCGATAATAGGCCACTGGAGAGGAAGAAGAGGACAGTTTGCCAGGTGAATACCAGCCAGATTTCTGGGCTCTATTCTACTTAGCGGTCGTGGGTACCATATTCGCACTGTGGGCTTTGGGTCAGGTATGCGAGATATTTGCATGTGTATGAATATATACATGTATCTATATATATATGAAGATATACATATATTTGCATCTATATGAATATATACATGTATTTGTATATATATATAAAGATATACATATATCTGCGTGTATATGAATATATACATGTATCTGTATGTGTATGAAGATATACATATATCTGTATTTATATGAATATATACATGTATCTGTGCATGTGAATATTTATATGAATTGATGTATCTGTATATATATATATATATGTATGTGTGAAGATATCCATATATCTGTATGTCTATGAATATATACATGTATTTGATATAACTGTATATGTATATATATATATATATATATATATATAGTAGTATGTGTATTAGA